AACCACTTATCATCAGACTAGGCTCCCATATAGTAGTAACACGTCAGCATCATCCCCAGAATTTTCCCTGGCCGTCCCGTCTGTTTATTAAATCTTTCACGGCAAATGCTTTTCAAGCTCGGCTCAGAATTTCTCCCAAGTTCAGTTACCGTACTAATTACCGTTCGCTCCCCGCAATTTTTTTTAATTAAAAAAAAACACACTGGAAAAGTTCTACCAAAAAAGTGAGAGTAGGTTTTAGCAAAGAAACCACTGAACAATGAAGCCCGATGTAAACGCCGCAGAAGAGACATTTCCTAGCATCATAATTGCTGCAGCACCTTATCAAATTCTTGCTGACCAGCATCGTTTCTTCATTTCGGCCCTCAATGAAGAAACAAAAAAACTTGCTCATCCAAGAGAACAAACCAGAATTTCAACTCCATCTTACCCTTTTTAAAATGTTTTAACTAAAGAGATCAAGGCCAAAACTTCTAAAGACAAAGAAACGCATTGGCGAGAATTTGTCCAGACTTTCAATCACCATACGTCGCCCAGTGAGTTCTGTTTCAAACCTACCCAAATTGATAGGAGCCCACCCGCATTGAATTGAAAAACTTCTCGACCGGTTGAAATTGCATATACTTTTAACGTGCAATTTACTAAACTAAAAAACCCACCCTAGTGACAAAGCTCAAAGAGCAACAAAGAGAAAAGCCCTGAAACTTAATCTCGAAGTCTCGAAGTTTTATTCCACTTGAAACTGAAAATAACATCAAAGCGGCGAAGCCCTCAAAAGCATTAGGACCGGATGGTCTATGCACAGTCCACGATAAACAAATGGGACAAAAAGCTTTATCATTTTTAACCAACAATTTAAATGTTTCTTTTTTTGAAAAAAAAATCCCTAATTTTGAAAAAAAAATTCAAAGATCTCAAAATTTCAGACTCGTCTATGGTCAATTTTAAGCCCAGCAGTCAAAATTATAAAATCTTTGATCCACCCATCAACATAGTTTCAGCCCGATGCATTCCACCATTACAATCATTTCCACTCTTGAATGTTTTTATCAGCGATGGTTTAACAACAATGGCCTCAAGTAGGACAATTTTAATCTCCCTCGTCATGACAATGTGCAGATGTATAAAAAAGGCAAAAGTCACCTTTGCCCTAGCAACCATCTTCTTGATACTCTTTATTGAAGAATATTATAATAAACACAAATTTTCCAGAAAAAATTAAAATTCAGATAATTTTCCAAAATTGCTAATCAACCACCAACAAACCAGCCCCCACAAAGCACATCCCAAGAAAGCCCAATAACACCTACAACTACAGACAATCCTCAAACATCAACACGCATTTCTTTTCAAGACAATCCATACGATTTATCAAAAGCTTTTGACCTGAACAGCCATTACAACCTCCTGAAAATCATTCATAGCACCAGCGTACCGGAAAGCCTAATTAAGTGGTTGTCAAACTACTTGAGTGGGCGTCAATCAAAAACGATGTCCAGGGACTCCCTTCCAAAACCGAGGATTGTTCGCACAGGCGTCCCGAGGTTCAGTTTTGTCCTCAACGCTTTCTTATTTGCAAGCGAACAGCCTCAAAAGCGCGCGCAGGTTATCGATCCTGAATGCGGTATCTAGGACACTATAAGAACACAAAAAATCTTCTGGTAACGAAATCTTCTGCACCGCAGGCAAATAAAAAAAACTAGTCCAAAAATGTGTTTCAGGGTACATTTTGGAAGATTTTAACCATATTATGGTATTTTCGGCGCGCGCTCCCATCAAAATTGAAATATAGTGGCACCAAAGGCGCCTTTGGAATAAGTTCGCCTTCGGGCCGAACATGGATGTCATTAAATAGTACCAATGGGGCCCATTGAGTGGAGAGGGGATCAAATCTCTGAGCGGTGGGGGCTGGGGGTCCGAAGTTTGCTTCCTTCCCTAAATTCGCCTCTGCAAAAATCAAAGTTCCAGCGCTGAAAACCAATACCTCAGTGCTCTCTCATGTGTGAATCAGAGGAAAACCAAAAGTAAACTCAGGCCACCAAAAACTTCAATTAAATTTTTTGTTGCTATAATTAATTGAAGAAGACTAGTGGAATCTTATAAATTGGAAAACGCTTAGCGAGCAAAAGGGTATAGGATCGAACCATGGAATCTTTTACCGCTCGCTTTCTACGCGTGATCAACTCCAAATATTTCTTTTTAGTTATAGATAGTAAAAACACTCTTATACTATCACACTCTTAACAATCTATTTCCAGATTTGACGAAGCATCAAGCTTGGTAAACCTCATTCTATCGAAAAAACGTTTAACGTTCCACAGGGCCAGATTTAGGAAGGATTTGACCCCTTCACTACCCAAAGGGTCCCCCTCTGGTACTATTTTACGACATCCACACGCGAGCGCCGGACCCTAAAAATTTATAAAGGCGCCTTGGCCGCCAATATATACTAACTTTGACGGTAAGCACGCGGCCAAAAACAAGTTTTTGCTCAAACCCTTCCAAATGGCCTTTTTGGTCTGTTTTTGGAAAATTATTAGCAGGCGCAGAAAACATTTAAAAGCCCAAAATGGCCTTTTTTGAAAATTTTGGCAGGCGCAGAAATTTTGATCAAAATATGGCTTTATAAAGTTTTAAGAGTGCTCGGAGAATTAATTTGGTCAACCTAGTAAAAAGATCAAGAAAATTTCCCTATTTTTTTTTTAAATGAGCTCCCCTCCCCTTCGAAAAAAAATCCTGGATTCGCACCTGCCGTTCTAAACAAAACATGGTATAAACACCAATCGAACGGAGAATCGACGTCTCTCCCTGCCCCAAAATGGGGAAAAAATTGATGTAAAATTCAGAAAGAAAACTTAAGCCAACTGACAGTTGGAAAAGAGTAATGAACGCAAGGAAACTGAAAAAAAAACGCAAGGAAACTGAAGATTTTTTTCAAAAATCTTTAACTTTTGAACTAGGGGCCCAGCTGAAAGCTGGAGAGACCTGTTTGATTATTTTAATATTGATTATTTTAAAAATGTTTTAAAATTTCAGGTTTCTCAAGTCGATAGCGCCCTTCCTACGCAAAAAAAGTGAAAGAGAAGCTTATGCATTCATTATGCAAATCTGGATGGGTAGTTTTTGAAGAAATCGAAAAAGTTTGAAAAAATGGCCTAAAAACCGAAAAATTGACTATTCCTAAGTGTATAGCTCTTCCCCTAGATAAATTAGGGACGAGCCGTTTGTGTAGCGGGGGTTCCTACAACCTGGTCAATCGATTAAACCCTTAATCCCAAATCTGGACGGGTAGTTTTTGAGGAAATCGGAAAGATTTGAAAAAAGGCCAAAAAAGTCAAAAAAGTGACTTTTCCTAAGTCTATAGCTCTTCCCCTAGGCAAGTTAAGGACCAGCCGCTTGTGCGGGGGAGTTTCCTACAACCTTGTCTATCGATTAAACCCTTAATTCTAAATCTGGATGGGTAGTTTTTGAGGAAATCGATAACTTCCGAAAAAATAGGCAAAAAAATCAAAAAAGTGACTTTTCCTAAGTCTATAGCTCTTCCCCTAAGCAAATTAGGGACCAGCCGCTTGGGCAGGGGAGTTTCCTACAACCTGGTCTATCGATTAAACCCTTAATCCCAAATCTGGATGGGTAGTTTTTGAAGAAATCGAAAAAGTTTGAAAAAATGGCCTAAAAACCGAAAAATTGACTATTCCTAAGTGTATAGCTCTTCCCCTAGACAAATTAGGGACAAGCCGTTTGTGTAGGGGGGGTTCCTACAACCTGGTCTATCGATTAAACCCTTAACCCCAAATCTGGACGGGTAGTTTTTGAGGAAATCGGAAAGATTTGAAAAAAGGCCAAAAAAGTGAAAAAAGTACCGAGTTGTGAAGCTTTTCTAAGACCGTAGGGGGTGGGGTAGGGTAAAAATTGCCCTAAATTGCATGCAGGCAGGTAGGTGAAACGCTACTGAATCCATTGGTACCACTTTTATGAGAATCTGACGGGTAGTTTTTTTGGGAAAGCGAATTTTTCGAAAAAGCGTCTCAAAAAAAAAAATAATAAAAAAAAATATAAAAAAAAAAAAAAAAAAAAAAACCAGATCTCATCTGAAAAAAAAAAACGTTTTCATAATACCTGTTTAATAAATCAAACAGGAATTTCGAAGAAAAAAAAAGATGGCCTTAAGGCTCCTTTAATTTGTAGAACAATTTATGATGGACACGTTAACCCAATTTGAGAAAACTGGACCAATAGGTAAAACTTCTATTTCGCTGGGAAACCTGATAATTAATTTCCATTTTCGAAATTAGAAGTCTATCACGTTTTTCGTGACCTTTACAATTTTGCTGTTTGATAGTGGAGTTCTTTCTTTCAAACAAAAGAAATGCACTGAACTAAAAAAAAAAAATCACAAGTCAAACAGCGAAAAATTAAAATTGCGAAAAAACCAAAAAACAATCGGCAAGACCTATATTAGAGTACTCACTACGTTCATCACTCTTAATAAAATCATTTTTTTGGCACACTTTGTTTATTTTTGAGAACAATTTGGAGAGCATAATGCGCAATAGCCGCTACGCTTGTTAAACTCAAGGAACTGTCGAAGTCGAAAGACGGTGTTTCTTTTTTAACTTCGAGCTTTATGAAACGAGTGTTAATTAGGTTATCAAGATGAACAGTATGACAATTCTTTAGCTCATTTGATTGGCTAATGCTTTGTTTTTATATTTTTTAATTAAGGTTATACTTTTCGCAATTTTGAAATACGCTTTTGTCTAACCTCTTCAAATAAGTTCTTTTGGTCGGACTGAAATGGAATTCGAATTTTCTCAATGGAATTGGTAACAGACGATGAAATAAAGAAGCATTATATTCGGATTTTTTAATCACTTCGCAAAAATTTTCTTATTTTGGTAAAGCTGTGGGACCAATTTGCTATTTTAGTAGTTTTTAATTCCGACCAAATAAAGAGACAATTTTCAACGGTACACAGACAGAACAATGCAAGCACTGACTTGTGAATGTAGTTTCCTGACATCATAGCCCCTCCACTCCTGTCATCACACACCCTAGTAGGCTGAGCACTAATCGGACCATCGTCTGTCCCTTTGAACACCTTCTTGTACTCGTCTCCCTTCTCCACTCCATCCTTCATCCAGGGACAGGTGAAGAGACCGCAGCACTTGTTCAGGTCATTCAGGTTCTTCTCCGCCTCTCGCATGTCTGCGTTGATAGTGTCCAGGCCCTTCTCAATCGTCTCCAGTTGCTCACCCTGAACTCGGTCAATGTCATATTAGGAAAAGGAGGCCGGGCGAGAGCGGATTTTAGTGATTCCTTAATTCGATAAGAAAATAATGCTTGGAAGACAAAGCTGGTCTACGCGTTTTACTCAAGTGATTAACTTCAAACAGTCGACAAATTTGTTAGTCGTATAGGAGCTAAACTGCTAGCATGCCTCCCCATCGCGGACAAAAGCTCTTTTAACGTAAAAACTCCTTTCCGGAATTTGATAGAGAATCCGGGTAAAGAATATTTAAGCTCATTTCATTGACTTCTTTGAACTTAAAAATACTTGTACGCATGTTGTTCGCTTTTTAAAGTACTTTGAAAAATCTTGTTTAAAAACTGCTACATGCCATCAGTACCGCGACAACTCACAACAAAAGACAACTCGCAAAATTTAACGAAAGCGACAACTCGCTAGTTTTTGAAGTTAATTGGAAACTTTATATTCTCAGTTTAAGGTCGCAGATAACCGGCTCTAAATTTTATATAACACCTACCCTCTGGTGGCAAGCTCGCAACACGTTGACGCGACTGCGGCGGTGAGTATGTTGCCAATTGTCTTTTAACGCGAGTTGTCTTTTATTGCGAGTTGTCTTTTATTGCGAGTTGTCTTTTCTCGCGAGTTGTCCATTACGCCTGCCATCACATGGAGACACGGATAGATGAAAAATCCAACTATTCGCAAATAAATAATTAATTTTCTAACTTTTAACTTTTCATAGTGTTGGTGAACCGATTATAATAATAACCAGAACCCGCAAGGGCGGATCTAGGATTTTCTCGAGGGGGGGGGGGCGGATTTTCAAAAAAAATTCGAAAATTATGACGACCTTTTTTTTTTTTTTTAGATCGACCAAATTGATTTTTCGAGCTCTCCCAACGCAGTGTTTTGCCCTTTTTTTTTGGCGCGCGCTCCCCCTCAAAGTTAGTATATATTGGCGCCAAAGGCGCCTTTAGAAAAATTTTAGGGTCGGTCGGGCAAAAATGGATTTCTGAAAAAGTATCAAAGGGGGACCCTTTGGGTCGGCAGGGGGTCGAATCCCTGAGGGGGGGGGGGGGGGGGGTCCGCCCCCCCCCCCCTAAATCCGCCCCTGAGAACCCGGGTCTGACCTGGTCGTCGAGGTTGACTAATGTGGATATGGCGCCCTCCTTGCTCTCGTCACAGAGTGCCAACATCCTCCTGGTCGACTCCAGAGACTCATCTGTGATGGCGTTGATCTGGGAGTGCACGTCTCCATTCTGGTGACCACCTTCTTCTTCCATTATTATCAATACTCACTGTTATAATTAGGCTTAATAACCAACAACTAGCCAAAATAGTCAAGAGAAACAATTTCTGTAGAGATTAAATAAATAGTTCACGAAATAACTAATTTATATTTCTGCTGATAAGTGGATGTCAGTCTTACTGACTTTGAATGAAATTCAGTTCTATATAACTAGTAGGAGGCGCCGGAAATAAGTAACGAATGAAAGGTAATAGCTTTTGATTAACTACAACTCAGTTATAGTTATAACCAACATTAAAATTGATTTTGAGCTTTGCAAAGCAAACAGATAATAGGCAGCAACAGGAAGCGAAAATGTAGTACCATATAATTTTCACCAGAGAAAAAAAAACTAAAATAAACAAGTTTAATGACTGATTTTTGAGGTGATGCCTGCTGCAAAAAGAGCAACTGCACAAATTATCGCAAAAATGTATACTTGTAGCTGCGAGTAAATAAGAAAAGGTTATGCAATAAATCAATTACTTTTGATGTCTGAATAATGAAATGATTCGACTAATGGTACTATACCATAACGAAGATTATGTAAAAGAGCTGGGGTAAAAAATTTTTGAACAAATGAAATGTTTTTACACTGGAATGACTTTTGAAATTGAAAAATTTTGATAGACTACTTGATTCGATAGAATTTGGAATAAAAGCGATTTTGCTTGATAGATTAATTCGGATTTTGTTGCAACGAATAAATGTTTGATATGAAAATTGGAAATTATGAGACTTTGACTCACTTTTTAGATAAAAGACTTATCTGAATTAATTTCAGACAGAAAGAAAGTTGAATAACTCGGGAATTCTAGACAGCCGTAAATATTGACCCGAGTCCAGGTATAACAAAAATTTCTAATCCGATTTAGTAAAACTTGTCAAAATCTGGCAACAAATAAACTATGGGCACTGCGACTGCACCCAGAGAGGCTGCCTGAAGTAATTTAAATTTGAGTGAAAGATGTTGAAATGTTGGCAGGGTGAATAAACGGCGGTAAGTAGCAAGCAAGTAAGCAAAGCAAGTAGATGTACATACAGTTCAGTTGCTATGCAATGTGTTCAAGTACTCTCCGGCTGTGGAAAGATAAGCTCAGTTGAGGGCCGATTCGAGTACCTGAAACAAAATCAATTCCACAGTACACACCACAGACCCCCAGAATACAAACCCGCTTTACTTAGTCTACACTGGTAAGTAGTCGGCACAATTTAGACACAACTAGTACTTTATCTGAGATAGAATCAAAGCACAATACCAAATTCTTTATCACTCAATTTAAGAAACGCAAATCGACAACTTGATTTGGAAAACTCATTAGAGAATCCAAAACAAACTACAAAAGATGATTGAACTTACGCACAATATAGCAGCAATAATTTTCGATATCGAGAAAAAATGAACGAAGAGGAGCTCGGTTAACTAGCAAAAACACATGTCAGCTGTAAAAAAAAAAATAATAATACTTCGTTGCGCTACATTAATTTTTATCGATTTCTAGCTATTGACAAAAAAGTCTGCATGCCAGTATGAAAAATAAGTATGCCCACGATCTATCTTCGACAAAAAACTATCTACCGTCCTCGAAAAACTGTCTATTATTCGAAATAGAGTGTACGGCCAATGCGAAACATAAAACATCATTTCACTACACAAACTCAGAAAAAAAACGAATTCCACCACATTGAAACCAAACGCAACACATCTCGGATTAAAAATAGACTGCTGATGATCGGAAAATTACACAAACAATGATGAGTCAATATAGGGAGTTTTCTTTTAAATTGATTAACGTACAAAAATAATCCCGATAAAACGAACGCTTATTGAATTCAGAAAAATTTCTTAACCATCTATTTCACTTTTTGGCCTAAAGTCTATTGCATAAAAAGTTGATCAAGAAGTTCCATAAAAGTTTAGAGCTTCTCAAGCTCAGTGAAGCAAGACTCAGATTGTCTTTGAATCTAACACACTTTATATTTGTCAATTCTGTGTGAAGCACCAATAAATAAAACTTTTGATTTTCGAAATCTTGAATCGAAACCACACGTTCTTCCTATAAAATCATTATAACACAAGAGCAGAGCCAGAATCTGTAGAACTTAGACACCAGACAGTGAGGAAAAACTTAGTAAATGAAAAAAAAAAAACGGCTAGAAAACTGAGCATACGTGGAAATAACTATACGAGAAATTGAGATACGAGAATAAGTATACGACAAATGAGGTGCAATAAGCCGATGTAGCAATAACCAAAATCATTCGGTGTTGGACTGGCAACTATTTTCGCAGCGATCAGTGTTCAGCTACAGCCATTACAGGACGGGGTGTGGCTGATCACTTTTAAATGTAGTCTCAATTTCACACTTTACACAGAGGCAAGCGTAGCTTCGCACCACTTGCGATACAAAGCAAGAAAGCCGAAAAATCGGAAAAAAACAAGGCAATATGAGGCCTCTAGGCCGATCTAGTAAAGGTCGAAACCCATAAGGCCAAAAAAAACTGAGAAAAAAACGAATCAAATTTTAACAAATCGAGTTGCTAAAATTACAAACAACATAAAAAACAAATTTGGAATCGGACGGATACTCAAAATATGTCTGTTGCAGTTAAGGTCCAATATGGAACAATGAGACTTTGAATTTTTCTATCTATCATAAAGAAAACCTAGGCATTAAATTGGTCTGAGAACACTTCAGTAGGGAACTCTGGGGTCATCTAAATTCAATTGAAAACGAATTATGTCTCACTGTCTAAACTCAAGGCGTGGCAAAAAAATTTGAAAATAGGATCTAGGTGTTTCAATTGATAGAGATTACAGCAAGAGTAGCCGCATTCTATGGAAATAGCGCACAAAATTTTAGCTGAAAAAGTCTTTATAGCGTTTTGGAAAATCAATTCGGACGGCACAAAAAGGTAGCCAAATTTTCGAAAACTTTTTGAAAAAACGCCACTCCCATCAAAAAACGGTACCTGAATCTGAACATTTTAGGTATTCAGATTGAAAGTTCTGACCACAATTATCATTGCAAAACAAATCTATATATAAACCTGAATATCACAGATATTCAGATCGTTTTTTTTCAACGCACAGAACATTTTGAAATATCCAAACCGCAACTGAATGTGCTTTAATGTGTACGTCATTCGAGTGATTTCTTCGAGGCACCAAAAACTGCGCAACAACCCAAACCTACGCCTTAGTTCCCAAACAAAACAAACTTTTAACACCAAGTTAATTTTTCATAATACCCTCTTCAGTACCTAGCTTAAAAACTGCGTTAAGAAATAGTTTGAAACATTCTAAATAAAAAAATTTACTTACGCCCAAATTCTAGTAAGAATACGTTATTTGACTTGTAAAATGGTGATGACGCCAATTACTAATGATGGAAATTGCAAAAAAAACTTGAATCCACTAGTGTGAAAATATCTCTGGTATTTGTACTGCTTCTCAAGTAACTGAGTGACTTCCCACAAAAACGTGTCACGGTCTGAAGGCCACACGGCAGAAACTATTGTGCGCTTAGAGAGAAGAGGAAAAGCTAATTAAAATGTAAACTCAAATTACCGACGTGCAATGTCAAATTCTCCCCCTGAAATAAGTAATCGCTACCGCAATTCACCACCAGTGAAGATACAAGGAGAAAAGAAAACTCTAGTTCTTTAGTTCACAGCTAAATAATTGAAAGTAGACAGCAAAAATGGCTGCAAATTTATGTTATATACTAAAGGGAGAAGAAAGCAGAAATCAGGGATAAATGAAATGAATCAAGTGTTGAAAAGGGAATAGGTGCTGAAAAACTTGTTTTTCTCTCCTTTTTATTTCTCTCCCTAATATAAATGGAACTAGAGGGATGTAAGGTATAAATTAAGCGCGAGAATTAACAGCAGGAAGCTGAAATTGTCTTTGAAGTGAAGCGGCGCCAATTGGCTGGCTCTGGCGCTGCTATTTTGTCTTCTCTTCATCAGCATCGCCGCCGGAGCAGCGCGCAGCACAGGTAGAGATTGCAAACCAAACAGAACAAAGAAATTCGGAAGACTACAATTGCGCGGAAGAGCAAGTGCTCTATGGGTAGAACCTTTTGTTTCAAAGAGCTACTTCAACATCCAGATCCAGATCACACTTGTGCAGCAAACTGAGAGCATATATTTGAATGAAGTAGGTAGCAGATTCGAGAGCAATTAATTATTTATACCTTTTACTTTAAACTCAATTTTTGCGGAAAAAACTTGCCGAACCTTAAAAAAGAGTGAAAAAACGGAGGCAGTGAAATTTCTCCTGAATTCTTATCAAGTAAGAAAAACGCGAAAACAGTAATACTTTTTCAAATTTTATTTTCTCAAAAATTAGCTCGAAAAGTAGCTGAAATATAGTTTCAACGAACATTCGCCTTTGAACGCTAACATGCTTTTGAGCCAAGCGGTGCAAAAATAAACCTAAGCCTAGGAGACTATAATTGGATATCCTTTATTTCATAGAATCTATAGACATAAGGAGAGAAAGGGAGGGGGTTAGAATAAGAACGGAGCTCGCGGGTACAGAAGCAGCAGCAGCAGTAGCAAACGGAAGACGATGGCGAGATAAAAATTAAGATATGAAAGAGGAAAAACCAGCTTAGGAGGTTGCGAGATAGACAGAGGAGGGGCTGCACTTTGCAGACGCAGATGAATACAAACTACACTTTTTTTGACCATTCAAATCAACTAGCTCACAAAAATTGCTATGGCAACCTGAATTTCAGCATATCAACATTAAGTCAATATTCTTTAGAGGTGATGAGGAGCTTGCCTTGATTTGCGATACCACAAGGATTGCATTATAAATTTTGAAAAAGTTACATATACAAAAAGTTTATGCGCTAATCTCGAATGATGCTCAATTTGAGGAAAACATATCCAGAAACACAACAGCCAGCGCAACATGAGCAATCAAAAAATTTAATCGAGCGTCAACTGAGCAGGTAAAACATGGGCAGACGCCAGTTGAGCCGACAAAAAATTTGTTGGCATCAAAAATGTTGAGCTACGTTTTGCAACTCGAAGCTATTAAACCCCCACTCGGAAAAAAAACAAAATGGTTAAAACTAAATATTCTTCCAGACAACACAATATTATGTGACTAAGCCGATATGATATAATCCAAACACACTTGAGCCGAAGCGAAAAACTATACAAGGAAAATATGCAAAATCAGGGCAGGGTAAGTTTAAAAAATACAAAAATAAATCAAAATTACTACAAGAAAAGTCTGCGTTGTCCCCCCTCAAGGATTTGAACCCGTTTGTAGAATTTTGAGATATCCATTTTTTGCTGACACACCCTAAAAAACGCAATTTTTTTATCAAAATTTTCCAAAAAGTGCCTGTAAACGCCTTGTTTGGCCTGTTTTTCGAATGTTGCCTGCGGTGCATGAAAATTGGCCAAAGCACAGCTCGAAAAATCAATTTGGTCAACTTAAAAAAAGTCGACAAAATTTTCGAAATTTTTTGAAAATCCGCCCCCCCTAGAGAAAATCCTAGATCCGCCCGTCGAGAAAATCCTAGATCCGCCCCTGAGTCCTAGGCATTCCGCTAAGACAAAAGTTTGCCGACGAATATGTAAAATTTGAAAGTAGAATTTGAAATTATAAGAAAAGTAAACATTCGAAGTATTCAATGATTATGTTAAACAGGTTATTTACATCAAAAAGAATTTTTTTCGAATTGATAATGTTTGCTAATCGCAAGAGTAATAACCAGAGTATTTAATATTCTAATACTATATCTAAAGTTAAATTCAAATGGACGTAATATGATTGAATCCTTTTTGGTATACGATTGTGACATCTTTCACTGGCCATCCGACCCTACTTTTTTCGAATATTCGCCTGCAGCACGGTACATTTTGTCAAAATACGGTCTGGTCTTTATATTGATTTGTAAAAGCTCGGATAACCATTTTAGTCGGCCGAGATCAACAAACACCGCACAAAGAAGAATTGATCTCAAAAAAGAACCAAGACATAAATTGAAAACTGACATTGTAATGAAGTTAAATTCCCGGTTCTTTCTGACTTCGTTAAAAAACTTTTTCCTACTTTATTTTCACTATATTCCCCAGAGAACAAAACTCGTTAGCTCACTGTGAAGCTAGAACTTTTTAACAGCTATGGTTTTGCAGTTGGGGTGTCTGATCACTTTTTAATTTGTCGAAGAGCGAAACGAAATCATTTATTCTTTAAACAGTCGGTAATATAATTAGTAGCAAAAAGTTCGGACAGACAAAAATAATTAAAAAGAGCAAATGACCTTTTTCAGACAATTTTTGCATGCAAAAGCTAATTTTTCAGACAGAAAGTATGTCTCAATGTCACCTAAAAATTCAAATCTGCATGCAAAAATTGCTCGAAATTGGCAGATTGCTCTCTTTAATTATTTCTGTCTGTCCGAACTTTTTGCAACTCTCTATATTTACACATCGCGAGATTTCATTGAAACTTGACCTTGATTTCGAGCAGCTGACTATTTGAACTATCTCTCAGATAAATTTTAACTTAAGCTGAACCTTGACGAATTTGATTTTTAAAATAAGCTTACCTCTTTACACAGTTGCTGATGGATGACGTAAAAATTTATTTAAGGAGCCCTAAATCAACTTCAGAGTAGTTATCACAGCCGCGCGTTCAAACGATCGCAGCGGTTAAACGAATGCGGAAAAGATAATAGCTGACCAGGAGTAGTGCGCAGAATTTAGAGAAAAAACGAGGCAGACCGAAAAAGAAAAACAAACCTGCGAATCTGAATCTTCAATTTCTGCACTATTATCAGTATAGGAAAGATAACAACGGCAATTGGTGTAGCAGAAGAGAACCGCAGCAGTAAGTAAGTTGGAAATAGAAAGAAAAATGGATTAAAAACAGGATGTTAGGTGGGGGAAGAAATTTAAGCACAAACTACTCAATGTTTGTTCATAACACCAGTTACCTTGGTCAACTTACACAGCGAGCTCTGTTTTCCTTCAATTACAGTTCTCTTAATCTTGACTATATAACACTAAAAACGTCGATAATAAACAGACCAGCAAATAACAATAACCAAATTGTAAAGAAAATGTTACTGAATTACTTGGAATGCTTATTTAGCAAGCAAGACAAAAAAAGAGAAAAAGAATTGGTAAGAAAACTAGAAAGGTAAATCAGTAGTTCTACTGGGAGTTATTTCGCCAATCAACCGTAATGTTATTTATTCTACTCGGCAATACCTTTACTGCAATACCAACATATACTTGCGAAGAAACAGAAACGGCATCAAAAAATTAAATATTAATACAACAGAGCGTATAGTATTTCAGTCTGAGGCTCAGAAACAGTATTTATTGCCTTCTATTACAAACATTATGAATGGATTGGGGAAAAATCGGATAAAAAAACGGGAGGAAAATGAATTTTTGGTCGAATTAATGCTTACTTACCAGCAGGGGAGCATTGTTGTGCACTCAGAAAGACAAGAACATTAAAGCAGCAATAAGAAACAAATCAATCGGCCAATTTTTAATCTATTGATTCCCAAAAAGGTCTAGTTATTGCTTCTGAATATTCAATATTTGTCAAAAGAGTTGATCCACACAAAGAAAGGAAACTGCTGTGAAAAATCAATTTTCTTCGCGCAATCGATTAGAAGAAGAAAAACTCTCTCTTCTTTTCAAATCAAACTCATCAAAAATGCGCAAAAACGCGTTTAACATGAGCGAATTGTCGAATATGTATTAGAGCATTGTAAGCTATGACTGATTCTTTTCCGGAATATTTCCACGCAAAAAATCTTGACAGCATGATCGTTGAAATCATAGTGTCACAAAACGTTATGCACGCCCCACAAATCAATTTCTAGTAGAAGGAAAAGGCTCTCTTCTAGCTTCCAAGTTCTATTGTATATATTCTATACCTTTTTCATGTCTTTTTGTTATTTCAACCAAAAAACATTTCATATTCAAAATTTTTCATCACCGGGACCTTTTTTGAGGGCTTTTAAATCACAAGTGAGACGATAGCTTGTATTGTTCAACCCTAATTGGGATAACAGGAAGCCCAAATAAGGAAAATAGAACTAAAAGGCAGAGAGGGAGCTTCACGCTACTGGCGATATTATACAAAAAAAATTCCAAGCACAACACGAGCTTAAATCAATTGAGCTTCAACGAAACTGAGCTTGAATCAATTGCGATGAAAATATAACCAGATGGAACTCCTAGCTTTATACCGAATCCCAAGCCATACATTTGTAGCTTGGTTCATTTCTTCCCAATTGAATTTCTCAACATGTCAACCAAATGAGTAATGAAGAAACATTCAGCCAACCCTTAAAAAATATCCGCAGTTTTTAAACTCGAATATCTGCAGTAGAAAAAAAACAAGGACAGCCAGTTACAGTGAAATTGCACAGACTGTTCCGACCATAGTCTTGAAAAAATACAACAAATTTTTTCAAGTTAATTTCGTTTGTTCTCCATAATATCAAAAAAGGAACTAAATCGAAAACAATATTCGAAACAGGCATATTCGACAATCATACTAAATTACGCAACTTGGATAAGTTTTTGTAGAAACAAGATTACAAAAACAAAAAATCACAATAAAAAATTAAGAAGTTTATGATTCCCAAAATGGCGCTAAAAACTCTTGAAACTAACTTTACTCGAGTAATGATTCCCAAAATGGCGCTAAAAACTCTTGAAACTAACTTTACTCGAGTAATAATAAGTTTTCACTGCTGAAATGAAGCTACTATAAGCTTAAAAATAAAATATTGTAAGCCTGCTCGCTCCCTTTATTCGCTCCAAAGTAGACAAAAAGCTTTTGAAAATTTTGAGAAGTCGTTCGAATCACGACTGAAAGGGCTTTAAAATGTTATATCACTATCCCAGTCCGATGATTATTTGTGGTATTTAATTTTGCGAAAGAAAAAAACTAAACTCCCAAATACAAACTTCCTCGCCATTTTCGATGGTCGGAACAATAATAACAACAACAATTATATGGCACTGCAATTAGCTATATAAGCAAATACATAGTCTATAAAATTACAAAAAAAAAAGTTTTTTTTTTCCAAATAAGTGTTTTTTCTTCGCGGTGCAATAAAAAGACTGAAAGAAAAACTCGAACTAAGACAAATTCAAACGTCATAATAAAATAAACACTCAAAAACAGCTTGTGAAAAACGTTGACGGAAATTTTTTTTAAAAATCATAAAATTCAAAAATTTTTAAATTGTTTTTGTGGAAATTATTCGAGTTTTTGATCTTTTTGTTTCTAAAACGACGCCAACACACCACAAAAAAAATCAATTTACTTGTGTACTGTACAAATATTTTATACGGCTTAAATTAAGCATAAATAAGCTATTGCAAGCTCGCTTTACTCGCTCGAAATTAGACGAAAATAAAAAAACTCACATCGGTTTTTCTCAACACTGCGAAACTTTTTTGTATACTTCATTGTTTTTCGGATCGCGACTAAAAAGGCTTCAAAATGATATATCACTCAACTCACTCCGATGATTTTGGGTGGAAACCAAAAATAACCAGAACACCCGAACACAAAGTTCCTCAGAATTTTCAATAGTCAGAATAATAACTTAACCTCTTTTCTTGCTGGGCGTTTCACGGAACTCAAAATTCCGCATATACAGAAAAAACCGCATATAATGGAAAAAAATTTGCAGCCTTTGAGAGTTCTCTGACAGACAGTGCCTAATTACAGGGTTGGTAATTTCAAATTTTAAAAAGTGTTTTTCAATTCAAATTTTGAAAAACCATTAAAATGTCATAACTCGAAAAACCAAAGGGTCTTTGAAGAAATGGAAGTCAGATTTGCAACCGTCAAGAGTAACAGGGGAGCACCCAACTATAGGGTTGGATGAACCTTTTCAATGCCAAGTTTCACGAAAAAAATTTAAAAATCATAAAAAGGTCATATCTCGGAAATAAAAGTATTTGAGCATTCATTTTTAGCGGAAATATTCTCAACGCCTGAGAGTACCCTGACAATAAGGTTGTTCCTTTATGAGGCTGGGAATTTCACATTTTTCAAAACTTTTTGTACGTAAGTTCTTTTGTCAAAAAAAAATTTTAAACAAAATATCACATCTCGGAAATTAAAAGAATTTGAATAGTCGCATGTGGACGCAATTTGCAATTCCTGAGAGTATTCTCACGGTACCCAAGTTCAAGGCTGAGAATTTCATTTTTTAATTTTATTTTTCTATCAAAGATTGGTACTCAACCATGTAAAAATGAAAAGGGAAGCATGAACAGAAACATGACAAAATCTGAAAAATGCATTAGAAAACTAGTCTGACATAACTACAGCTGAAACCAAGGTTTTCAAAATTCAATCCGAAAAGAAACGGGATACAAAAAAGATCAATTTGCAATGAAAAATCTTAAAACTACAATTTAAGACTTTGTATGAGCACACGCACTCAATAATTAATCATTCGCTATTAATCACTTAACTATTATAGCTTATAGGTTCAGTCAAAAACCAGGAAGTGGAAAATTAAACGGCAAAAATTAACTTTCAAGTCCAATAAAATTTTCCAATTGGTCGGATTGAATTGATAATTTGAAAAAAATACGGCTATTAGACCGGCTAGAATTGAGAAGAAAAAAGGCTGAAAAATGAGAAACGAAAAAAAAGACCTACTGAGACTCGAAAAGATCCTGCCGGGACTCGAACCCTTAATAAAAACGGCACCTAAACAAAAACAGTTGAAAGTTACAAAAAAACAACGGTCAAATGTTTGCAGATTTGTACAAAAAGCTTATTACCGGATAAAACGGTCTAGTTCCCGGTCACAAGACGCTACAAATATGTGTAATAGTATCCCACTTAGCAACTAACTTATAAAAATCCAAAAAGAAACAGTTTGAAATTTTCTAGATGTAAAATTAAAATAGTCCAGAGTCTAATAAAATAAGGATAGCCGGTTACTGCGCAATTAGCACAGAATGTTCCGACCATAGTCTTTAGAAAACTACGGTTTAGAAAGTTTTTTTTCCAAATTAGTGTAGTTTTTTCTGCTTGGTGTGATAAAAGGATCTGACGTAAAAAAAAAAATTAAGCATATTAGACAGTCATAGTTAAAAAGGCAAATTAGCCGAAAATTTTTGAAGTGATTGGTTCGCAAAAGGAAACAAAAAAACTCCAAAAACTAGCTTTATTTGCGTTCAATTAAATTTTAGGGTCTCAAGTTAGGCCTAATTCAGCTTGTAAGTCTGCTCGTTTGCTTTATTTGCTCCAATTAAGATTAAGACAACTCAAACCGGTTTTTCTCTACACTGGGAAATATTTTTAGGTGGTTCGAATCACGACTGAAAGGGGTTTAATATGATACATCACTCAAACAAGTCCGGACATTATTTGTGGTACCTGACTTTGCGTGGAAAACAAAAAGCAAAACTCAAACACCCGAATACAAAGTTCCTCCCCATTTTCAATGGTCGGAACAATGACAACATATGACAACGAAAGATAGCGATGACGCCAAATACTTATACGAGAAATTGGAAAAAAAAACTTGAAACCAATGGCGTGAAAATATCTCTGATATTTGTACTGCTTCTTGTACCTTAGTGACTTCCCACAAAAATGAGTCACGGAATCAAGGCCACATGCATGAAATTGCTTTAGTTGTTTAAACTTTCAGTAGACTAGTCAAAATTCCTAGAAAGACGAAGCAGAGGACTACTACTTCGCACCACTAGCGATACAACACAAACATAGCACTCAAATCTAGCAGACAAAATTTAGTTTGGAATTGTGTTCAATTTGAGAAAAACACAATCACCGCAAAAAATGATATTCAAAAAAATTTCTTTTGAGCGGCAACAAAGCCGCAGAAGTTGAGAATATTTCGTTGATCTGAAATCAAAAATTTGCCGAGATCAAAATGAAAAACAAACTTGAAATTTCTGAAAATCCTTTTTTATACGCTCCCGCTTCCGGAAATACGAAAAGATTAAAACCTATTTTCCCCACTAAACGACGCAAAATTCAGCCAATAAATCGTTAGCTAAATCAATTAAAGCTATCATGCGAATAAACATCAGATTTAGAAAAAACTGCGGTAATTAATCAATAATAGATTTACGTACAATGAAAGACACTTGCAGTGATGAAAAAACCGTGATGTTATAATTTAGCCGACAGAACAAACAATGGCCCGTCAAATTTTTTGAAACTGAATATTTCCCATTTAAAAAAAAACAGGCCTTGTTCAGATTCGACGCTAGGACCTTTGTCATCACACGCGTAGTCGTTACCTCTAAACCGAGTGTACCAAAGAAGCTTAGAAATT